CTAAAAAAAACCACTATATATATATACTGTAATTCACTGCTGTAAAATTTTATGAAATTTTCAAATACTGTGACTATACGGTCTGAAGATATTAAAATAATAATATAAAATTTAAAAATAGTAAGATATTTGTAATGTATAAGTCTGTAACTAATCTGACTAATTTAATTACACTACTTTTTGCTAAAAAAATTTTTATTAAATTAACTGATAAAAGCAAGGAGAAACAGTAAACAGTGCTTGGGAGAAAACATATATTTTTTAAAAATCTAAAAAAAAATTATATGAAATCAATCAGCCATCATTTTTTTGTTTATGCGTCTACAAAAATGCATATATCAGTGCAGGTTGTTGTGAGCGATTAAAGTAATTATTTACACATACTGTATGTGAATGAGCAACACAACATATTGGGGTTATGGGTTACATGAGATGGAGCTTTAGCAAGGAAAAACACACAATGAAAAGTGACAAACACACATGGAAACCTGAAAGAAACTAACAGCATCCAGTGTCTCTGAATGCTGTGAATAAACAGATACAGACAGCAGGACGAGCAGCTTCAGCTGGGACTGTGATGACAATGAGATTTAGAGAATAACTCACCAGAGTCAGCGAATTCTGAGGAAACAGCAGACAGAGAGACACACACACACAGAGAGAGAGAGAGAGAGAGAGAGATGAAAAAGAGTCTAAGCAGGAAAAAACTATTTAGCTCTACAGCAAAGCCATGTAGAGAATACAAAGATGAGATGTGCTACTGTTCAAATAGCCATCAAATGTGCAGGTCAAATTCTTACAAATATTTTTTTTTGTTTTGTATTGTTTTGGTTTGCACAGTAGAAATGCATGCATGCAGTATCATACAGAATCATCATCTTTAATTAAACAATCGCTTTAGCTGCATGGTTTTAGACAGATTTTACACTGAAATTGTTAGCATAACAAAGGCTGACAAGTGTGTGAATGCATAAACAGCAGCAGAGGTTTGATTTAACAGCATAGCCCACGTGTGATGAATGTGTGAATTTACCAGCGTAACCCACGTGTGAACACGTGGTAAACATGTAAGGAGTGTTCTGCTGATGTGATAATGCTGTCATTTTCACAGGTTTACTTTATGTTAACAGTCTCTTTCTGGCGTACATGCACACCTTCTTTATAAATAAACTTGTGTTACTTAAATTAAAATACATTTAAAATAATTGAAATTAAATTAAACAAAAAAAACATGTTTCATTTAAATTCATTTACTTGATAAATTAAACGAATAACTAAAAAAAAAAAAATAATAAAATAATTCAAATTTATAAAAAATATTATAGCTTTAAAAAAAACTTATGCAAATGATATATCACAACAAAATGACTAAAACTTTAAATTTAAAATAGAAAAATAAAAACAAATTCCAAATATTCATCAAAATCCAGTCATTTCAATAGGAATCTCTGTGATTGGGAGTTTTGCACAAGAGCTAAAAAGTTCCCACGTAGATGTCGCTCGTGTTTATGCTCTACAAAACAACTGAGGCAAATCACATCGCCAGCTCCAGCAGGACACAAACCCATATTCATTATATAACTGTAACTTGAATATGTTTTGGTCAACAGCTAAAATAATTTTTAAAAATGTGCCTGTGTACAAATATATATGGACCTAACTGTATATTCAAATAATATATGTACAGAGTAGATATGTAGTAGATTTAAATACACATTTAATATGCATATTTTTTCTTTATTAAATCAAAAAGCTATTTTTAAAAATGTATTATATTTAATTGTAATTTCATTTATTCATTCATTCATTCATTATATTGTTATTTTGTGTTGGAATGTCTTCACGGGATTTGACAAATTCACTTGAATATGCTTATTATGGTTTTAGTACTGTACCACATGAGAAATATTACAAATGAGACCAAAACCTTAAATGTATGGTTTAATATTAAGTTTAAATAATTTAGAACACTATTCTGCTCCTACTCAATGTGGATGGTGTGTGTGTGTGTGTGTGTGTGTGTGTCTTACCTTCACTGAGAGGGTCGAGTGTGTGGATCATCAGATGAAAGATGCTGTTCCTCATTAGGCTGTTGTGTAAAGAGGCGGAGCTTCCTCCTCTCTGCAGCCGGGGTTTGACCTGTGATAGGAGGAGAAACACGTCAATCAAAGCGGTCTGGATGTCCTGACCCAGGGCTGCCCCCCCCCCCAGGACGCGATCGCGAATGGACCGAGGGGGGCCACGCTGCCTACCTCGCACCAGGCCCCGCGTCAGCTAAGGACGGCCCTGTCCTGACCCATCAGAGGTCAGGGAGGGGCGGTCAGGGTGACTGGGGTCAAGGGTTAAGAGCGGGCTTAATATGTCTTCAGAGCAGCTGATGCTATGGAAACATGTCAGTGCAATCTGAAGAGTCAGCTGCTGATTAACACAATCATACAGGTGTCGGGTGTGTGTGTGTGTGTGTTGTGCTGAGACAAACACTGAGTAAATTGCTCTGAGGATCAGGGATCAGTGCTGGCAGATGTCAAGGTGCCATCTCTCTCTCTCTCTCTCTTTCTCCTTCTATCCATCAACACATCCGTCTGTCTGTCATATTCTTTTTGGGTGGGTATGTATTTATCCATCCATTCATTTATCTTATCCTTCTATTATTTGTCTCGAAATATATTTAAAACAATAATAATAAACTCTCAGGAGTGGCTCTTTCTTCTATTGTGGATCACATGGTTTCATTAAATAAACGTCATGCTTTACAACACAGCACAAACACGAGTAAACAGACCGACACACAGACTATGGACAATACTTACCGACAGCTTGCTGTCATCCTCCACTGCAGTAGGGCTCAACTTCACAGTCAAGAGATAAACACAACACAGAGAGAAAGAGAAGAGACAACAGCACAGAGATGAGAGACAGGAGCAGCGGACAGAACACCGACATCAGACTCCAAAGAGACACACACATCAACAACATCAACTGACAGAGTGTGTTTGACCTCCGACCTTTACATACAGAGTGTTTGACCTCCGACCTCACAGAGTGTGTTTGATCTCTGACTTCACAGAGAGTGTGTTTGACCTCCGACCTCACAGAGAGTGTTTGATCTCTGACTTCACAGAGACTGTTTGACCTCCGACCTCACAGACAGTGTTTGACCTCGGACCTCACATACAGTGTCTTTGACCTCTGACCTCTCAGAGGGTGTGTTTGACATCTGACCTCACAGAGTGTGTCTGACTGCCGACCTCACAGAGAGTGTTTGACCTCTGACCTCACAGAGTTTGTTTGACCGCCGACCTCACAGATAGTGTTTGACCTCTGACCTCACATACAGTGTGTTTGACCTCTGACCTCACAGATAGTGTCTAACCTCTGACCTAACAGAGAGTGTTTGACCTCTGACCTCACAAAAGGTGTGTTTGACTTCTGAGCGTGACCACCGCCTCACTGTGCTGTTTACTTATCCGATGCGAAAGATGATGTTTGCGTCAATGCGAGTGAAGTACAAAGCCTATAATAAATAATATTTTTGTATCCAGATATGTCGTGAATATGGAAACATTTGGATTCATGCCAAATAAGAGAGGTAGGCATCAGTTTCACCTTAAATTAATTTCTGTCATGACAAATCTCGGAGGGATTGGAATAGTAATGTACATGACAATGTTAATGTATTTGGTCTTGGTGGAATAGATCTGCTGCTGCGGCAGAGCTAGTACAGAGACTTGCTACTGCCAATACATCCACAACATGCTGCTGTGAGCATGAAAGAAATACTGCTGCTGCAACTCATTGGCTACCGATACAGGAGAGAACCAATCAGCTGTGCCACGTGATAATGATGTCATTAGGTCAGATTGAGTTAGACCTATCGGACTGCGCCATCTAGAGTTTCATGCCAGAACTCTGTATTTGTTTTTGGATTGGTGTTTTTAAACACATAGCCTAACTTTAGAGAATTTGTTGTGGAGAGAAGGAAACTAATAACTGTGTTTATCATATATACGTATATGCTGTTTATAATGTTTGTAAACATTTTGCTTTATTCGCATTTTAGCCTAGGCTACATTATTTCTGAATGTAATAATAAAATGTGACGTGAGGTTATGCGACTTATGTTTCTTTTCCTCTCAAATCGCAATTTTGTAAATGGCGTTTTTTAACAATTATTATAGACGAAGAAAAAGTTTTAAAAAATAATGTTATTAACCGTTATTTTTTCTACTCAAACTGGTTTCGGAATGATAATAATACAGAGGAACGCAGGAACAAAAACGTTAAAATATCGATTCTGCTTGGAGTGAACCGCTTTAAATTTATTATTCTTTTTTTTTTTTCGTTTTCAAGCCCTGCTTAAAACAACACTTTCTGATAAACCAGTCAATCCGGCCCAGCCTGGAGCAGCGTGGTTCAATCTATTCTAATCCAATTCATTCAAGAACGGTTTTACAGTCAGATGGTCTCATGAAGTGTGTTGTTCTTGTCAGAGCAAGCTGTAAACTGTATCCTTTCAGTGTTCTCTCAATCCAACAAACTGCAACAAAGCACCACCGAGCTGAAAGATCATCAGTTCAGCAGGTAAAGTAGAACCATTGGAACCTCAATCAGGATGAAGAAGACTCTAAAATTAGCTCTTAGGGCTAAATTAGCTCCAAGATAGAGCCCTGGAAGGCCATTTTAAAAGGAGAAAATCAATTTATACCTCAAGTCTCTGCACACAGTTCACTCATCACCAGCCTGAACAGACCTGCCGTGCAAGTCTTAACACAGAGTGTTAAAAATCAGCATCCATTTCCATTCCTTTATTCAACTGTAATTTACATCTATTTGCATTCAGAGAGTTGAGAACACTAACGTTTCTTTTTGAATCTTTCCTTTTAGTATCTTCATCAAATTTCCAATATAACTCCACATAAAAAAATGAACAGACAAGTAAATGGGCAAATACATGAATAAAAGCACAAATTAATACATTCATAAATGTATGGATAAATGTGTGAATGCATAAATAAATGCATGCATGCACAAATAAAAAAAAAACATTCATAAATAATTGCAAAAATAGATAATTGAAAAAATAGATAAAAGCATAAAGAAAAAAACACATAACTGTATAGATACATAAATGCATAAAAAGCATAAATGAACAAAAGCATAATAATATAGATAAATGCATAAATGCACAAATTAATGCATAAATAAATAAATCTGAAGCCTCCCCCACTTGCTAATTACTGACCCAATTTTCTGCAAGCAGAACTAATTACAAAAGCAGCCACTCTCATCCCCTACAGGGGATTTCAGGACAAATCACAAAGGAGCCAAATCATCAATCTCCAACATTTCATAGAAAAAAAAGAAGAGCCTCCTCATTTAAGTGAAGGATCAAGCCACTAAATGTCTGCATGTCTCCGTAAACAACAAAACACCAAATCACTGCTCCAGCTATGACACCGGTTTATGTTGGTAAATGTAATATGTGTAACCGAGAAGCCCATTAACTAGCTAAAAGGTGCAGCTGTGCTTAGGGATTTTAACTAAACGTAGTTACATTTTCTCTAAGCGGCTCAGAGCAAGATTTGAAGATGCGAACCAAAAGTGAAGCTGATAATAGAGCTGAGCTGACTAATTGGAGGCATTACAGATTGAATATTAAGCCTTTTACCTAATAGCATCTTGCAAAAAAAAGCCCCAAAACACTGACATTAATTGTACGATACATCTTAAGACTTCGGCAGTAAGTAAATAGGGTCAATTTCATACTGACTGTGTGTGTGTGTGTGTGTGTGTGTGTGTGTGTGTGTGTGTGTGTGTGTGTGTGTGTGTGTGTGTGTGCTTTACGCCTATGGAATGTCCCCATAACGTGATGAATACACAACATGAGTGTGCGCGCGCGTGTGTGTGTGTGTGCATGCATATGTGTCAGGGTCACCTTGGAGATGGAATGAGGGCCAACAAAACAGAACTGGCGAAGGTTGTGATTATGTTGATGATTATGATCGCAGGCTGCTGAACGAACATTTATAGAGTAAATTCAGTCATTATGATAATTAGCCTTTCACAAGCCTCATCATAGAGACTGATTGCAATCAGACCTGCTTTAACCTGCAAACTACCACCTACTCCAGCACTGTGACCACTGTATGTACACACACACACATATATACATATTCATATTTATTCATAAAAAAATATTCTGTTATACTCTAATCTAAAAGATGAAAATCGAGTGAAATTCAGAATTTTAGAATTGGCTCCTTTTTGGTTCATGAGTTGTAATTTGAATCTACAGGATGATGACCAGGTATTTGAATTGGAATAACAGGAGAAGAAATTTAAATAAATGGAATTCTAAGAAAATGTATCAAATGCTGATGACTAATCAAACTAGGAATATAACAACTTATATTATTTAAAATACTTAACATTATTTTAATGTTTAAATTTCCATCCACAAGTCTGTGGCCACTAATTTAAGATTTTTTTTCTACATTACAAATCATATCACAAGCATGATCTGAACGAATTCAATAATTTAATGAATTTAATGGGGGTTTTTTTTCATTAAAAATATTGTGAGCAGAACTGAGTGAATTTAATAAAATAAGAAATGTAGTATTTTTTTTCTTCATCACAAATTACATTGAGCATAACTATCTGAGTGAATTAAAAAAATGTAATAAACTTAATTTTTTCATTACAAATAATACTATGAGCATAACAATAAATGCAATTTATTAATAAATCTAATAAATTTTTTCTTCATTACATCATATTATGAGAATAACTATCTGAGTGAACTGAAAAAATAATGTTAATTTTTCAGTGAAATTTTTCTAATGATTTTGAAATTAGTCGAATGTTAGGTCCTTTAAGAAACCCTAATAGCCAACCCATGTCAGAAAAGTTGTTTCAAATGCATTGTGCAAATTCACCCAGCAACAGCAAATATTTATGCAGCTGCAATCCCACAGCAGCAGCATCATGTGATGCTTCAGTAAGGATTCCTGCATATCTGCTCTGCCTTCAACATTAGCTAATTCCCTAATCTTTTAAAATAGCTTGGATCGATTGAGCCTCGGGTTTCTGCCTGCAGCTCCTCACCTTCAGTCCTCATCATGACTGACCTTGCGCTCAGGATCAAACACAGACTGACGCGATCTCCTTACATACAAACACACGTAATTACGCATTCTCACAGCGGCTGACTGCGGGACAGGAACACCGCACCCCTTATATTATGGAATCAGTGGGAATGATGTCCATGTTTAATTGATCTAGATTGTGTTTACTCATTATGTTGTCTATGAAATGCATGACAGTGGAAATTTCTCTGGCATAAAAAAGCACTTTCAACAAATAGGGCACATTTCAGTCTCTCTTTACTTAAAAGCATTACAGGCACAAATGAAGACTATTAGATTTGTTAGAAATTACTCTGAAGACACTTGACCCTCTTGACTGTAATCAGCATTGTGTCTATGGAGCGAGATTAGTCTCAATAATAATTCACGCAAAAGATACGATGCACACAAGCGTATATTGTTTTATTTTTGCATTTTCACTTAAAACTTGGAAGTAAGATCGGTCATTTGCTAAGGTGACCAGTGTAAGCCAGCGGCTGCTGTTTAGTCCAGAGTGTGTTATGATTTAATATTGATTGATTCTTATGTTTATTTAATAAAGAATCATTATTCATGTGGACACCATACCACATTAAGATATTCATAAACTCAATGTAAAGCATAAAAAAGGTTTTGATTGATGGGACACGTCGTAAATAAATAGAAGGTTATGAAAATATAGTTTTTGGATATTTTTCATGCAGTCTCTTGTGTTTTTGTTT